ATTTATTTAAAATTAAGATTATGCTTAACGAATTGCTACAATTATTCCGTTATAACGTAGCAAAATATTTCTAATTTCTTCATTCGTTTTTTTTTTTGCGTTTAATTTGAATTCACTGAAATTTTTCCTCTATTAATTTTTTGTTATCCAAAATTTTTTGAAGATTGCTGAAATGAATATTATTGAAAATTTATAGAAGCTCGTACTTCTTGTCTTCGCCTTAATAGGAGATGCTAATGGTTGCTTTGGTGGTGGATGTGGAGGTCAGGTGCAATGTTGCTGCTTGAAACTGCCACCAATTTGTTTACCAATACTAAATTTGGGCGGTTGTTGCGGTGGTTGCTGTTGTCCAGGTCAAGGAGGTGGCGGGTATGTCTTTCAGTAATTTTATTTGCAGTCATTTTAATTAAGCATTCATAGAAAAATAGCAATTCCCTTTGATTATTTAATTTAATCTTGATCAATGAGATTGCTTGTGTTGTTGTAAAATTTTAAAATTTTCATAGTTTATAACAGAAATCGAAATTTCAAAGCAAATATTGTTACTTACATTTTTTTTTTTTGTTTATGCCAATTTAATCGTTATTAATTAAAACTTGACGAACAGAGCATCAAAGTTGTGTGTTCTTCTAAAACTTTTTTGATAACATAAAAAAATTATTCTTAAACTAACTGAACTTGCAATTTATTTATATCTTTTTTTTTGTTTCAATTTTATTTTATTTAAAGTTGCAATATAATAAATATATATATATGTTTGAACTTAATAAATGAAATTTATTATTAACATTTGAAAGTAATATTTTATCATTAACATTTGAAAGTAATATTTTATCAATTAGATAAGTCAATTGGAGTTATAATTCCAAAAAAAAAGAAATTTGTCTATTTAGGTATATAAATATTGCGTAATCGCTTCCAAAGCAAATTTAATAAAATTATTTGTTCATAATTATTTACTTGCTTATTTATCGATTGCATTTGATTTCTGCTCTTTATGAAAACAAATTTAAGAATTAATAACTATTTGTGTTCATTTTTTTTAATGCATTAAATAAAAAGTAAAGTCGAAGAGAGAACTTTCATCAATTACCGCTTTTTTTTTTCATTCATTTTATCAACTTTTATTTTCAACGCATTCCTATTTCAGATATCCTTTACCACCTGCCGTTCCGAGTGGAGGAGGGTAAATTACTTTTTATTAGCTTACATATTTTGTTTAAATTTAAATATTTTCATAAAATTTTGTTTGAAAGCCTAATTTAAGTTCGAGCATTTATCTATTTTATATTCGACTATCTTTAAAAAAAATATTTGCTTAAATTGATTTAATTTTTTGCTTCAAAATTTCAGATACCCGGTGCCAGGAGGTGGCTATCCAGTTGGATAAAAAAAAAACTAACTTATTTCACTAGTTAATCACTGTTATTTATCATTTGTTCTCTGTTATTTGTAAATAGGGTTTATTATTTATCATTGTAACTTCTTTCAATTTTTCATCAAAAACATTTGATCATTTTTTCAGTGTTAATTACGAATTAGTTCTTATTTTGATATAATTGAAATTTAAGCTCCTTTTTTTTCAGATCATCTTATTAGAATTTCAGAAAAAAGAATAGATTATTTATTAAAAATTTCAAAAAAAGAATTTGAATATGGACAATGTCTGAAAAGAAAATGTCTCGGTTTAATTATTAAAAAGATTAAAATTTCGAGAAGGATAAAACCCCCCTCCTCCCCACGGATCCACTAAATGGTATTAATGACAATTGCATTAAATAAATTCTTCGTTTATGTAATCAATCTGTGCGATCTTCTCTTATCGATCATTTAACTGATTTCGATTTCATCTATCATTTAAATGTTAACTTTGCAATAAAAAAGACAAAACATTTGTTGTTTGACGCAAGCCGATATAATATTACTGTGACCTTTGACTTTTTTTTGATGGAATTCACTTTGAGGGATAGCTTTATGTGATATAAGTGAATTATAAATGAAGGCTTAATATTCAATGGAAAGTTTCATTCCTTTTTAATTTTATAATAGTCAAGAGCAGCAATGATCACTTGCTCGTTCTTCTTAACTTTTGTTCCGGTAGGATAATTTCGGGACTGTTAATTGAGGTATTCGTTCGGAGAAGTGTTGATGATAAGACCTCTTTGTCTCGAAGAGCAATAAGTTACACTCGAGAATACACTCATTAGGAGTTAATATACTCTGTTTATAGTAAATAGACAATTTCATCATTCTGTAGACGAAACTATCGGTACAAAAGAGGTCAGAGGTCATTTGATTGCATGAAAATGGTGGTGAAAAAAGAAGAATCATTTATTTATGTTGAAAAATGAAATTAGTGATAAAGATGAGATCATTTTGCACATGAAACCGATGATGAACAAAAAATCGTAAATCACGTAAATATAGAAAACATATCCGAGATCATTTCAATTGAAATTTTTATAACATAAGAAACATGAAGCTTATAAGCATTTAAACATTTTTACATTATTGAATTATTTTCGATTTTAGAATAAATTGATCCAAAAATAAATGGTATGCTAAAATATACTTTTATGAGATTAATATTCATATTGACTGCAAACATAAATATTTTAGCTAAAGAAAATTCGGACGATATATGTAAGAACAGGTGTGAAATGTTGCCAATTCGTCATTCTATCGATCATTGTCAGTCATTTTCATATTATTCTCTTCACATTAACTACTAAATAAACTTTTTAAATTTTTTTTAAATTTCATTTTCCAAGAATTTTTGATATCAATTTTACAATACGAAATATAAAAATATGCAAAATATAAAGATAGGTTTAACATTTTGCCAACTGATTATCGTTCTTTTTTTTTCTAACAATGAATTATTTTGCAATGATAGTTATCAAATAATAATCATCAACTTTATAGTAGCTAATAGTAACAATTTGAAAAATAATGCAAAAAAAAACAAATTTATTTCAGCAATTCATCTTTAATGTATAAAGCGATAAAAAAAAAGCGCTCGCAAAAATAGTCTCGCAATTTTCATCATTTTTATTTTAATTATTTGTAAATTGGAAAAAATTTTTATAGCTTTTATATTTTTTTCCTCCATGCAAATTTTTTGCATAAATTTGCATAGAGAAGGAAAGTTTCTCTATGCAAATTTTTTTTGTAATTTTTGAAAAAGTATTTAAAGTAACAATCAATTTAACTTGCACAAATTTATTATATTTATTTGATTGTATGGAAAAGCACGGCAAATTTTGTTCGAAATGATATAGCCAACTATTCATTATCATTTCTTTCGGAGTTATTAACTCATTAAGCATTCTGCAAACATCAACGAATTCACTTATTTACTAATTAGGTTACTTACGTTTCTTTTTTGTTTACCAACGACATCTCCTGGGCTTATTGTGATTTTCTCAAGCAGTCCGACAGCTATTTTCCTTTCCTGTTGCAAAAGAATGTTGAAAATGTGTGGAACATTTGGTTTTTTGTTTTACAATTACAACAATGACGTCATTTTCTTCTTACACAACCTAACACCGAAAAAGTTTTTTGCAATATTTTTTCTTTCATTAAAAAGTGGTGAGCAATTAATGACGAAAATGTTTACTGATATTATCATATTTTGAAACTGTTAAGGGATCAATGATAACGGTTTATGTAATCGAATTGTACATTTATGGCAAACAAATTGCGCCCGCATTAATGATGACGTTAACCGCTATCACAACTATTTCTATTTTACTATGCAAATTGAAGAAAAAACGAAAAGGTATTATTTTATTAATTCCGTATCATAATTGAAATACGGCTCTTTAAGCCACAGTTTCTGAAAAAAATTTCCTAATAATTTTGAAATTAGAAAACGGATGCAACAAATTAACTTCTCTGATATTCGAATATTAAATTTTAAATTTCAAAATCTAAAATAAGGAGATTTTTGAAAAACAACAATAAATTACTGATATGATTACAATGTTCATTTATTAACAAAGATGCACTACCTTGACCTCATCCTTACCTTCCATAATTCATCATCCTATCAATGAAATGTGAAAAGCATTGCTTCGTGATCTAAATAAATTTCACTAATAGCATCATTTTCGAATTCTCTTAATGCTTCGCCTTTTTCTTTTGTTTTAATGATTGTAATTGTTTTGCATACCCAACAATCTTGGTAGATTCACCGAATAATGAATCAACGGGATTGATCGTTGGCCAAGTTCCGAGTGTTCTCAATGAACGAATGCAATCTTCTAATCTGTTAGTTTTCATTTTCATTCTTTATTACTTATCAAAGTATCCGATCCGTTAGCGGAAAACAGATGACAAATTCGGTTTCCGGTTCATTTTTTCGTTTATTAAAAATTGTGAGGTAAAAAAGAAAAGTGCAATAGTTTGAAAAGAAATTAGTAATTTCTATAGCAGAATATATATATACTGAATTGCAGAATGAATAAAAATTTTGATGTGAATATTGAACCTCTTCCAATCATTACAACTGATCAAATTCCACTGCAACAAAAAAGTTTCATGGATGCGAAAAATGATCAAACAACACCGTTGTTTAGTGAACCTACCGAAGAGGAAACCGTGATGGAAGATGCAAAAGTATGTATTTGAAATTTAAATATATTCAAAAAATTTTTAATTTAAAAAAAAAAAAACTAACAAAGAGTAATTTTTTGATACTTTCTAATAATAGAAATAAATTTTTTAAATTATTGAGAAATTTGTGGAGAAACGAGAAATAAACACACAAAAGGAATTAAGCAAACAAAACAAATGGAAATTGAATAGTGAACGTACTCAAAGATCGAAAATGGAATTGAGCGAAGAAAATAAGAGGAATTTCTTAGATATTGATAATACCCAAAGATCGATCACTCAGAAGCTAACAAATGCGAAAATGAAGAAGAATGGAATAATGACAGAAAAGAAAATAGTAAAGCTTAAACAAAGAGAGGTTAATGATTATGTTATAGAGGCTTGTCAAGATTTAATTAGCAATGAAAAATTTGCGCTTGATTTTTTATTTATCTGTGACTTAAGATGAGATTGATAAATCAGCGATCTAATATATCCAAATTATCAAACAATCAATTTGAAAAAAATTTTTTCAAAAAATTTGCATGAAATTACTTTTTTTTGAAATATAATTAATGTTTTGTAGGAAAACTTTCCGCAATGCTTGTTGCTTTTTCAGAATTTCGCGATTGGTTTGGCCACTGAATCAAGCCAAGCTTCAAGTTTGGATTCGGCACGTAGCTGGTCAAAGAATGAAAACGACAAAACTGAAATCAAAACTATGCGTGAAATTCCTCCAAACAGATTGCTCAGTTTGAAAAAAGTAATTGAAGTGGAGAGATTCTGTTCTGTTTTTAAAATAATTCTAAATGACACGACAAAATTAATTACACGATATGATAATTATTATGAATTGTTTTCGTGCGAGTTGAATTTTCTCTCTGAATCTTTTTGAAGGAAATGTTAATTATTTTTCTAATTCACATGGTATGACTCATTGTTTAATCAAAATTGCATTTTCCCTGAAATATTTTATATTTGATTTTTTGTATAATAAGTTTGAAATTAATAAAATTAGTTTGAAGTAAATAGCAACATAATCACTAAATTTTTGTATCCGCAAATCAGTTTGTCTGATAAAAAACAGTAATATGACATTACTTTCAATCAAATTTGAATCAATTCTTACTAGTAATTGAATTTGACGTGTGACGCTAACAAAGAAATTTGCAAAATGATCGTTACTTTCTTGAAATTAGCATAATATGAGCTAGTAGTTAATATATTGGTCTAATTATAGCATTTTACGATATAATGTCAAGCATTAATGATATATTTGAAGGATACGATCAAACCGGAAAGGAGTAAATCAGAATTGAATCATTCCAATATCAGTTTCACGGGAGATGAACGAGCGCAATCGTCCGGCAGTGATTCTGAAGAGACAAAAAGCGAAAGGTGACATTGTAAATCACTCACTCTTTTCGGTCTGTGCTCAATTAAATTGAATTCAATTTTGTTTCTGACAAAATTTAATTATTCAAAACAGTCTTAGCATTACCGAAATTTATTTTGCTACTTTTCCACCGATTCAGTTTTGCAATGAAAAAATATTCCAAACGATTAAGCATTCCGTATATTCCGATCAACTTTCGAGAGAGATTCTTCATCCGATCAGTCACCTTTCTTTCATCAAATTTCAATTTTATTCCAACCGCATGATAAAGCAAATATTGCTTACCATCTCTTTGAAATTGTAATATTTCCACCCATTTTAGGAAAACATGAATTTAAATATTGAACAATATTGAATAAATACTTTTTGATCATATCAAACAAATCATTTTTAATTCGGTGATAATTTCGATTGCATAAATGACACCGTTCAGTTGAAATAAAATTTTGAATTAATTTGCAATTCATTCGGATACCTCACTGATTAAAGAATGGAGAAAACAAAGAGATGAAAGGCGTTTTTGTTCATTGTCGGAAAGATGAAATTTTGACTGACAACGTTAAAATGCGGTCAGCGGTGAAATCAATGAAAACCTTTGAATGACCTATGAAAACATGTTTATGCTATCATAAATTTAACTATTAATTCATCATTCTTATTCAAAATCGATTAGCAATATTACGGAAAAATGTCCTCTCCGAGATTTCCTCCCACAATTCGATGTTTCCATTTTGCGGTGACAAACTTCCCGAACGTCGTAAATCGGATTCCTCTGAAAATACGTCAAATATACATTTCGACACATCAAACGATATCATTCGGAATGATAACGCAATGAATTGATTATCGATTTACTGAATATGATTCGATCGCGAATTCGAAATTATTTTATTAATGGATAGAGAAATTTTATTACCGCTATTAAAATTG